AGAAAAAAGTTAAAGTAAGTAAGTACAGACGAGACACGACAGACAGACAGACAGACAAAAAAAAAAAAAAAAAAAAAAAAAAAAAAAAAAAAAAAAAAAAAAATAAATAATAATAATAATAATACCCCATTATAATACTCATTATAATACCATGTTTGGCTATTTTTGGAGCACAAGATTTAATTTTCCATGACCATCAAGTACAGTTGAGGTTCAAAATGGGGATTGTACATTTATACACTCTGCCCTAGTGATGTCTGTGCAATATTTCACTTTTTTGTTTCAACTTCAACTCTACCCATTTCATCAAAATATTTTTTCTAGAGTAACGTTTAAGAAAGGCACTCATAAGCATGAAAACATACACAGAACAAATGTAAAACTTTTCTTTTCTTTATAGGTATTGTTTTCACTAGGTTTTCATTCCACATTAAATAGTACTTCATTTCTAATTATACTAATACTACAATTCAGCTCAATAAAGTAAAAACAATCATGCTTTTATTAACTACACTTTGAGTTTCTTTTCAATTAGTAATAGGAAATATGTGAAATAAAAGATACTTGACCAGCATGCAAACTTGCTTCATTCAATACCCATACACGTAAACATTTTTCAAGGTTTTACAAGCAGTGCACATGCTATGAAAAGAATATCCATTTTCTATAGACATTTCTTTTTATATTAAGTATATAATAAGTAAACAGAAATAGTTGTGGAGTGAATGAAAACCAACCTACCAAGTCTAAAATTTTTATGGGATGCTTTCTCTTCCTGTAGGGATTTTTCCAGTCGACTCTTGTGTTCATAAACAACTAAATTCCAAAGAAATAATGAAAATGAAAAGAAATAAAAAGGTGCAATTCAAATCAAATAAACACCATACATTAAACTGGTTTTAAACAACAGAAAAGTGCATATCCAACAAAGATACATTAATTTAACCCCAAAACTCTTCCTGTAATGGGGAAAACATTACGACTGACCCATATGTCACAACATGATCAATGACCCATTAAAGTAAAGCACCTGTTCCTAACCTGCAAGTATGTGAATTAAGTGAGTTTTAATATTCATTTTTAACACAAGTGCAATGTAGATCAATAAAAAAAATTCAAAAGTCTGGAATAACAAACTGTATAGTTGTAGCCTCTTGGTATTACATCCCTTCTTTTTTTAATAGTTAACCATTATTAACATCAATTAGTAGCCTTATATCATTAATATTTTATGATATTTAATAACCTTCAAATTCCACATTGGTTTTGCTGTTAATTTGTCTTTGTTTTCAGTTGTGTATTCTTGGAAGAGTTATTACTTGAACTTCAACCCAGGACTTCAGAAGTAGCAAACATAAGTGATTTCCATTGGACTGGACTGTTGTCAATTAATGGAGTAGAGGTAATGATGTTCTGCTAATTTCAATGTTTTGTTTGGTATGTGTGGAAGATTTACTTAATATTTCCTTTTCTTCAAATGTGACTCTTGGGCTATTGTTCTGGTGTGTTTCTACTGTACTTGTTGTTTTTTTTCTGACATTTAAAACAGTTGAGAAATTGTAAATGTTATTGAGTCATATGTGGTGTTGGTGTTCTTGTATTCTCACTTTAACTGCTCTCATTATTTCATCAATATATTTACTGCCACATTCACATGGAATACTGTAGACTACATTTTCTCATTCTAACAAGCCTGGAGAATGTTTTATGAATACAAGTTGGGAGCTTAGGGTATTATGGCTTTTGAAATTGGTCCTAATTTTAAATTATCTGAGGCTTCACTAAAAAACTTCAAGTATGGATAAGTTACAGTGATCATAGGTATTTCTGTTCAATTTTTGTAGTTACACTTTCTGAAGAAAAATATAAACTATAGCACTCCATGTGGTTATGGAAATGAATACACTGGCAAAATTCCAAGGTCAGTTAATGTAAGAACATAAAAACATCAGTACCAAACAAGACTCAGGAACACTTACAGTTCAGCAGCTGTACTAGAATGGAAGTATTCTAGAACAATATGGCAAGTCACATCTGAAGGAAATGAGAAGTTTAAAAAATCCTTTCACATCTACCTAATGAAGAAACCTCTATACAAAATAAGCAGTGAAGTCACCATCATAAGACAACAGTACAATCCAGTGAAAGCATTTTCACCACCAGTTCTTAAGGTTCTAGGTTTGAATCACACAAATAGTTTTCAAGACAAAACACTTGAAACAACAATAAATGAATACTAACTATATAATGTGAATTACAAAGAGGTTATTAGTTTGAATATTATAAAACATATATTAAAAACAAAAGATCAAATAATAAAGATAATGCAATTATAAACCACTAATCAGTAATAGCTTTGCTTGGTAATCAGCATTCAAAAATACCTTAACATAATTATCTAATGACTAAAGAGCTTTAACTTTGGGCTAAACTTGTCTGTAAGATACAAGCACTATTCTAGGTTACCAAATATATGTGGACATTTTGTGATGATGAATAAGTAATTGCTTGTTTGTTTATGACAAGGCTACTAAGTCTATCTGTTGCTGTCCCTAATTATGAACTGATAACCAATCTGCTCAACTCTTTATCAATGAATAGTGAGATTAACTGTCACATTAAAATGTCCCCAATAGCTGAAAGGGTAAGCATGCTCACTGCCATGATTCAAACCTGTGGCCCACAGATTGAAAGTCCGATGCCATTACCACCAGGCCAATTGATGTATATAATTACATAGAAATGCTGATTTCTAGCACACAGGCATCATGAAAGTGACAAATCAAAATACTGCATATAATTTTAATTTTCTATTTTGATAAAAAAACTTTCTGAAGTGAATAAATGTAAAAATACACTAACATAATTTTCAGTAAAGACTACAAAGAACAATGTATGATTTAACTGAGGATAATAGTGAAACAAAAATGTTTATGTTTCTTGGTCCCCATGAATGGAAATAAGGAAGTTCAATGCAGATGGTATATTATACTCTCACATCTCCACAAGTAAAGAGAACAGAGATACAGATACAAGAAATATAGTAAATCTACTAAGTATATGTGTACTATACCAATTCCTATTTTCTGATCGAGATAGTCAAGAAAATGGAATTGAACTATTTGTTATAAAATGTCATTATACACAATTTCAAGTAAAAAAGGACTTTACTACAACAAAATTAAAAATAACTTGCAAAAATATAAAAGATTATTCAACATAATATAACATGCATGAAAAAAATTCAAAATTATTATGACTGCCAAGGAAAGCCTTTATTATTTACATTGCAAAAAATATAATTTATAAAACACAATTTATTTTACAAATGATCATTAATAGTGTGCTTTTTAAAACAACTACATAAATAATAAAATTCTGAAGGTACTTGCACTAAAAAGAAATCTGTAAAAGTAATCAATCAACTTTGATTATACATAAATATCTCACATTAGGGAGGTCAAGTCTTCATTCAAACTTGGTAGTATGAGTAAAATCTACATTTAAAAATCTATCATAAAACTTTGAAGTACATAGTAAAAGAACTTTGATGAAGGTTCATTAGGGGCTAAATTATAATACATTAATCTACTTTTATCTCAGCTTAATTCTTTAAATCATTAATTATTTGACTTTTTAGTAACATGTACTTGACTGATTTGTATATATATATATATATATATATATATATATCCCATTTTAATGACCATATATAGGGTCATGCAAACATTGTACCCTTTACAGCTATTCAGAAATACAGACCAAAGATATCATGAAATTTCACTCAGGCTGCAGCTCACTTTCACACATACACTTGCAAGGTTAATGACATCAAAGCCAATTATTATAATAAAAGAAAAAAAGACAGTGAAACACAAACATGCCTCAGAAAAATCATAATAATAGCATCTAATGTGTGGTTCTAATTATAAATTATATGCTAAAAGCACGTGTATTGTTTGTTTAATTTCATTCAAAACTATTCGCACTAACTTTCTCTAATTTTGAAGTGACAGTCTAGAGGGAAAACAGCAATTCAACACCACCCACTGCTAACTTGTAGACTAATCAAATTGTGGAATTTGATCAACTCTCTTATAATGCACCCAAATTGGAGAGCTCAGTCTGTTATATTTTGTTTGGTGGTAATGTGATGCAAACCATGGAACCTCATATGTATAGTCTGGCACGCAAGCCACTGGGCAACACTTAGCTCAAAGATAATCGGCTTAGTTCAATTACATTTTTTTTATTCTACACAGAGTAGTGCTTCAACAGTTTCAGCATTACATAACTGTAGATTTGCTGCACTAACATTCTATACTAAGCAATTAAGGATAAACATATGATGACAACATACATTAGTACTTTCTGTACACAGACAGACTAGCCAAGAAAATATTATGTCAAATCATAAAGCATTATAGTTATTTTAAAAATTAAGTTAATTTTCCTACACTCCAGTGTAGCCTTATTAAAAACAATATATGCTATATTTTTTACCTTGAATGATATACACATTAATTTAGTTAACTCTCAGATAGTAAAGTTTTATAACTATTTTTAGATTATTTTTATACACGAATTAACTTTTGAATGCATGCTCCTGAACAGACAGATAAAAAAATAAAATAAACATAATTCTCATATAATCTCAACAGACTCATAACATGCTTGTTACTTAAAATAGTTAGACTGCTGTATAGTTCCCTGGTACATGAAACACCTGGCATGAGCTGCAGAACAGAAACCTGTGTTCTTGTAAAACAGTGTATATGTAAAATACAAAAGTATATACACCTTGAAAATTAATATTTTTTTTATATTAAAACTAAAAATGATGCATGGTGATAAATTATATTTTGCTCAACTCCAATCATGAAAATATATAAGGACAGATGCAGAGCCTTAAGTTCTTCAAAATGGTTTTAAAAATAGTATATATTTAGAATGAACTGTATGTGTGGTACATCAAATTCCATTAGGCTTCTATAAAATACTTAAATTATAAAAACATTTTTCAAAAATTTGTATTTACTGTCTTATTTATGCATACAAACAGTAAAAAAATGTTTTTAATTAAGTTATAAGATAATAAATTATATCAAAAACATAATAAGGAGCTTTGGTATTTCAACAAGTCTTACATTTCAATGATCCATTAAACAGTTACTTCCTCTTTTAATCTTTAAATAAATACATGCATTAACATACTCACTTTTCTAACCTATGTACATGTAATATGGATTTGGATCAATATCTTTAATTTTTATCAGTCTTATTCCACTATGTTAACAAAGACATGTTTAAAATTAAGGCCTAGTGTTTCATACCCTTCAAAAACAAAGTTAAAAAAAATCACAATACTCATCTTCCCAACTGAATATTTAGAGGTACATATTAAGAATTCAACGTAAAAATAGAAGAGTAACATTCCAGTATTTGTTCTTTTACAATAAGAAAAAAAAATTACTTCATTCAGGTGTATATGTTTTTCCTTTATTGCGAACTTAGATTGATCATTATAAAACCAGCAGAAAATAACTATGATAATACTTTTAGCTCCAAGTTACCACAACCTATACTTCTATATAGTGTCACAATGTACATGAACATATCATATATGAACTGACTTAGACAACCAAGGTTTAAGCTAATGAAAAAATTGTGTGGGTAAGAAAATTACAAAATGTAGGAACACTGTTTGTTTTCTTTTACACTCCACATTCATAGTCATACTGCCTTGCACTATAGGTCACTAAAACACACACATCTTTATGGTACATCTTGGGTGTTATATCAGCTAGAAAAGTGAG